TTTTTTTTTTTTTTTTAAAATCAATATGAAAAATTTGAAATAGATTAAATTTCATCAATTAACAAATTTTATTTCCCTTTTTTTTACATCAATAAAAATGTTAATTTAATTGAAATTCAATCATTTTAAATAATTTTTTTTTTATGTATATAATTTTTTTCTTTTTTAACATTTAATACTTTTACAATTTTTTTTATTTTTTCATTTTACCTATGAGACAAACTTTTCCCATTTTATATACCTAATTGAATGACCATTTTGAAATTAAATGGGAAAAGCCTTAATTGTTATGATAAGAAAAAAAAATTGCTTTTAAAATGAACAAAATTTCATATTACTCAAATATATTACCTGTATGATTTTAATTTAAAAATTTAATCAAAAAATTATCATTCTTATTGATTTAAAAAAAAAAAGAATGATATTTCCAAATATTTTTTATTGTTTTCTTCATTTGATTGAAATTTTTCTTTTTCTTTTTTTTTTTTTTAGAAAGGTAATTGCTCTTACCGCAGCACTTTCATTATTAATTACCTTCCTGATAATTGCATGATTTAAATCATTTGATTTACTCATTTATGAAAACACCTACTTTGATCATTGAACTTTTATGCCCTATTTTTTTATCAATTCTAAGAAATTGTTAGAAAAAAATTATCACTTTTATTTCTTTTCATATTTCATATTCATAATTGTTATCAGTTCAACAAATTATCAAAATTTTTCATGCTTTTAATAGATGTCAAATGTTTATTTATTATATTTTCTTTTAATATTTTTGAGTAATAATGCATGCATTTAGGATATATGTTTGAAATCCGGATCCGGAATATTTCAATTTATTATCAGTAAAACATGTTACATTGATTATGATTGTATAGGGAGATGTTTGATGTAACTGAAATCTTTTGTTTTATTTCAATTTATGAAATTTGAAGTATTTTCTTATGCAGACAAAAATTGAGAGTACCCTTGAGAATTACTTCAAGAAAACTAAAAGTTGATTGTGATTCATTCTTTTTGCTCTTTCTCTCCTTACTTCTTTTTCATTTTATGCTAAATAGTTTTTTTTCTTCTTCTGTAGTAATTTGAAGTGTAATAAGAGTAGAATAAATGAATTGTTAGATTAAAAAAAAAAAAAAAAAAACTCATGAACTTATTCAATTCATTTTTTCCACTTTCATTCTATTCATACTGGAATACATATGTTTTTTTT